GAGGGAGGAGGGAGGAGGAGGAGGAGGAGGAGGAGGAGGAGGAGGAGGTACGGGACCGGGGTGACCGTGGCGTGCCCGCTCTTCGAGCCCGTCCCGAGATGCCTCCAAGAGTTTCCGAGAGGCCTTCAAGACGGCTCGAGACCGTTCCAAGACGCCCAGGATGGCCTCAATACAGTGGGTGGCCATGCCAAGAAGCACCCTGATTGCCTCCAGGGTGCCCTGGGTTTCTTGGGTTTCGACGGTTCTGCCATGGAAAGCGAGACGTCCCCACGCCAAAAATCAATGGACGTTTTGGGGTCTCAGGGTAAGGTTTCTTGTGGAGTGTTTCTTGTGGACTGGCCTCCCCTGTACAGCCCAAGAGGCCCCAAATTCGCCCCAAGGGGGCTTCGAGAGGACTCCCAAGAGAGCCCCAAGAGGTGAACATCGCGGGGAAAACGTGCATGTGTAGCACATCCGCGGTTTTGCTTTCAAGAGCGCCCAAGAGGCCCGATATGGGCTCTGGAGGGGCCCCAGAAGAGCCCACGACGGGTCTCGGGGCTCCAGAAAAAGGCCCAGTAGGGCCCCAAGAAGGCCCCAATAATGCCCCGAGAAGTCCAACATACGAACAACAAGGGCATCGTCCTTGGTTCTCATTTGGACCCGCCAGTCCCCAAGAGGCCCCGTATAGGCCCCCAAGAGCTCCCCAAGAGACCCCAAGAGTGCTCCAACATGACCCAGGAGGCCCCCAAGAGGCCTCCTAGAGGCGCTCAAGAGCCCTCAGAGGCCCCCAAGAGACTCCCAGGCCAGCACGTTAGACCAGCACGGCAGACCAGCATGGCAGACCAGCACGGCCGACCAGACCTCCGTAGCCATTTTGGCTCAAGCCTGGCTCGGGCGCGCGCGCGCGCGCGGGCGCTTGGGCACGATGGCGCGGGATGTCGCCCCGTGTAGCGACAGTCGGCCTGATGCGAGCGGCGCCCCTGGCTGGCCATCCTCGGCCAAGCGTCGGGAGGCGCGCAAGGCGGCGGCTGCGGCGGCTGAGGCAGCCGTGCACCGCCTGTCGCTCGAGGCGCGGGCCTGGCGCAGGCTCTACGAGGACCTCGCGGCGGCCCTCGGGGCTACGGGCGCATACGGTGAGCTGAGCAGGCGCTTGGCAGCGGCCGCCCCAGCCTTGGCTGCCTTTATCCGTGGGGAGGTGTTGACTGCGGTCGAGCGCCTGAGACGGAACGTGGCCCTCCATGCGGAAGCTGAGGGCGTCGACCTGCTGGACGCTGGGGCTGCGCAGCTCCGCGTGGCGCAGCACGGCCCGAGGCTCGGCGCAAAGTCCGCGGCTCCCGAGGCGGGCGCCTTCGGTGGTGCCTTAGAGAAAACGGCTGGGCGATGAGCCTGACGAGAATGTGTGCGCCCTTTCTGGCAGGTGCGGAGGCGGCGGGCCCGCTTCCTGAACTGCCCGCTGGTGCGCTGTATGCAATGGACCTGGAAAAGGCCCTCTCGGGACCGCGGTGGGCGCCAGGCGTGTGGGCCACGCCGCATGCCGAGACGGTGTCCTTCGTTTCGGGCCCGGCGGCGGGCCGGCACCTGGCCGAGCGCGAGCCTCAGCTGCCGCCAGGGATGCGTTGCACATGTGGTGCCGCTGTCGTCTCGGCCCCGCTGCGGGCCCCCCAGGCGCCCCTGGCGGCGTGGCAGACGGGGTGCGCCTTGGCGCCGCCGCCGCGCCCAGCGCTTCTGGAGTGCAGGTCAGGTCCAGGTGCGTCTGGCGAGGGCTCCGACGTAGACGACGCGCTCCTCGACGGAGAGGCCGACGCGGCCACCCCGAGGCCGCCAGACGCCGTACATGTGGGAAGTATTGCAGCCGCCGCTGCTGCGTACCTCGCCGCCTTTCCGCAGGCCCTCCTCAGCGGGGGCAGCGGCGGCAGGGCTCGCTGCGAGGTCGCGGCAGGGGCCTGGTGGCGTGCGAGGGCCGTTGTCGCCCGCGCTTGGCTCACCGCTGGTGCTGCGACGGTGCAGGAGGGCGGCACTGCGGGCTCTGCCGCCCCGCCGCCGCCGCTGCTCGACCAGATCGTGCCCCCCGGTGGGCAGGTCGCGCGGGCCGAGTGCCCGCTGCCAGGGTGCGCTGCCGGCGCCGAGGCTCCGCCGCCTCTGCGGAGAGTCCGCTTCGCAGATGCCCCGCGCGTATTCGAGATTGGGAGCTGCTTGGGCATGCGTGGTGTCCTTCGGCGGCCGAGCGCGCCAGAGTTTCTGGGCCCCGCCTGGGCGCGCCACGCAAAAGCCGTCGACCTGATGCACATGATCGAAGGCGACTCCTTTGGCTTCAGGATCCCTCCCACTCGGAGACCGGAGCGACATAGGGCGAGATTCGCGGACGAGTCTCGTCTGGTCGAGGCCCTTCCGCCAGGGATGTCCGTGGAGCGTGTCAGAGAGATCGATCGCCTTCTCAGATTGCGCGCAGGACAGCAGCTCGTGTGTATTCCCCTCGTCTGGAGATCGTTTGGCAATCCGCGACTCACAGTCTCCATATGTGCTTGTGTGAGCTGGAGAACAGGCTGATGCAACACATGTGCGTTACCGACTTGTTTCGGCCGTTGTGGAGGCACGGTCTGTGTTTGCATTCTATAGGGAGTGATGGATTCGACGGCGCCAGCGTTGTCGGTGCTCCTCGTGGGACGTCTTGCCCATGCGTGTTCGGAATGCCTTATGAGTGATGGTTCGCCTTGCACGTCTGTGCCGCGGCCTTCTGAGTGTTGGCTCGCCTCGCACCGCTTGCGTGCTTTTCCCAGGAGTGTCTCTTTGGCTTATGAGACCCTGGAAGACCCCTTGACGCGAGGTTGGGCCTTCCCTTGGGGCCAAGGTGCTCCGCCTGCTCTGTACGGGGACGGCCCTTGTAGGCCCTCTGGGATTGGCCCAGTGGAGGCCTGGGCTTTGGCGCCTCAGTGGTGCCCCCCAGCCTTTTATAGGCCCTGCAGAACCAGAACCAGGCAGACCAGACCAGCACGGCAGTCTAGCCTGGGAGACCATTTTTGTAGCCCAGACCGGCACGGTACACCAGGACGTCAGACCAGCACGGCAGATCGGCACGGCAAACCAATGCGACGGAGCGGACAAGCAGACCCGCGCAGCAGTCCAGCAGGGCAGATGTGCGCGACAGGTCAGGCCAGTGGTCTCCTGTGTTGGTCTGCCGCGTTGGTTTGCTCTTTCGTGGAGTGCTGGAGCCCTGCAGGCTGAGGAACAAAGAGGGGGGGGGAGGAAGGCGCCTGGGCCCACCCTCCGACCCAAGCGGGGAAGGGGGCCACCTTGGGCCGCCAGCCGAGAGACCAGACTGCAGCCAGACCGCACAGTAAGGATGGGCAGCGTTCCCAAGGGTACCTTTGCATCCTTGCCTCCTCGGTCCATCTTTGGCCACTTGTTTGTTGACTGCGCCCCGCTCGAGAAGCCTCGAAATGGCCTTCCCAAGCCCTTGCATCCTTACCACCCATCCTGATGGTACGGGCCGACTGTAGGCGGCCCAAACCATCGGGCGGCCAGCCGAAAAGCTTCGCGATCGGGGCCCCACGAGAAACATTTCGATCCAGGAGGCCTCAACGGACAAGCGGGAAGCGCATCACGATACCTACGAAGAGTACACCTCAGAGCGCACACAATCAAACACAGGAGGCCCTGCACGGAACCATACTGTGATATCCCCCAAACCTCAAATCCGTGAGAGAGTATTCGAATCCAAGAGGCTTCAACAACCATGCTCGAATATGAAGGAAGTGCAAAACTGACGGCAAAGAGCACCTCGGAACGTACACGATCAAACAGGATAACTGCATGGAAGCATATGGTGCGAGCTCGCCTCTCAAACATAAAATCACCCAGGAGAGACACTTCATATCCAAGTGCTTCAACAACAATGCGAACATCGAGGAATCGCGCCATTGGACCCGAAGACCACCTCAGAAAGTACACCTTCGAATACAGGAGGCCTGCAAGCAAGCACGCGACGAGAGCTCGCCTCTCCATCATCACCCCTGCTCACATCCACAGGGCAGGAGGCTGGAAACTCAAACAGTGCCCGTCTGCAGAAAGTAATCAGCCCACGGACCCGCGGCAAACGACGCTTACGCCTGCTCGGACTCCGCCAAGGGTGCCGACTCCTCTTCCCGGATGCTGCCGAGCGCCGCGACAAGCTTCGGCCCTGCCGAAGTGGCCGGCCAGCTGCGGCCAGAGCGACGGACTCTGCCACGTCGTGCTGCGGCGGCGGCGCACCCTGCGCCTGTAGCCACCGCTCTCCCAGTGGGGCGGAGGAGGAGGAGGAGGAGGAGGAGGAGGAGGAGGAGGAGGAGGAACCAGCGAGGGCCGCCGCCCGACGCTCGAAGAGACGTCGGGCAGCTGCTGCAAGGCGTCCAGCTGGCACCCAGCCTGCTCCAGCTCCTGGACCAACCGCTGGACCAGCTGCTGCGCTCGGCACTCGAGCGCGGGCTCCCTCTTGGGGGGGCCTCCCGCAGCCACCATGCTCGCCCTGCCCGACGCGCAGGGGGCGAGCCAGGCATGAGCCAAAACGGCTATGGAGGTCTGCTCTGTCGTGCTGGTCTGCCGTGCTGGTGCCAAGCAAAACAGCACAACAGACCAGCGTGTTCTCTACGCACTTGCCTCGTGCATGAACTCTCTCTCTCTCTCTCTTTCTGTCCCTCTCTTTCTTCTATCTCCGTCCATCTCTTTCACTCGGTTCCACGGCTTAGGCGAGGGGGGGGGGTTCTTTGCGGCTCGGGGTAGGGTGGGGGCCAAACCCCCATTCAAAGGTGAGGAATGGGGCTGCAGGAACACAACTCTCTAAGCTGCCTCCGCCCAGAGGCTGGTGGGATTCACGGGGTGATCATGCCGACGGCGATGCTTATGCTGATGGCGACGACGATGCTGATTCCGGCGATGATGGCGGTGGTGACGGTCGAGGTCTCGTATGACCAGGGCGTAGTGCGCCGTTGAGCCGAGCGCGCACGGCGCGATGCAGCGCGCTGGCCTGCATGGCCACCGCACGGTCGGGCTGACAGTGCAGTGCCCAGGTGGGCCATGCGCGGTGGGCCGAGCACCCCGCGCGAGGCTCCTCCTCCTCCTCCTCCTCCTCCTCCTCCTCCTCCTTCTCCTCCTCCTCCTCCTCCTCCTCCTCCTCCTCCTCCTCCCGCCGGCACGCTGCTGGTGCTGAGCCGGAGGATGCCCAGCCGAGCCACCGCGAGAGGCCCAGCCATCGGATCCCACACGGCGCCCAGCAGATGGGTCTGCGAGCCTCGGGCGCCCGCGCGCCGCCGGCTGCCCAGAGTCGTGGCGTCTTCCGCTTCCGTCCAGCTCGGGGCCGAGCTGGACGCGCCTGCACGGGGCCACGCGCGAACCCTACCCCTACCCCCCACCATTTCGGAGGGGGAGGGAGCGAAGTGAGCCCCACCCTCCTCCCCAGAGATCGGGGGGGCAGGGATAGGGTTCGCACGTGGCCCCCTACGACAGTGACTTGGCCTGGGCAGGCCCGTCTTGCCGCTAGCAATGGCAAGGTGATCCACTAGCGTGAACAGCATGACAGCGAATGTGACGCGGGGGCCAAACTGGCCCCGCGCCCCATCAGGCTCTGCGCATGGCCGTTGTCAGAAGAAGGCTATCAGACCTGCCGCCACGCCGATAAAAGCGGCCAGGATGGAACCAGTCCTAATAGCCCTGAGAAGCACAATGGCTCCCAATGGGAGCGGCTTCATCAGTTCAGTCTGGGGCAGACCCTAAACGCTTGCCAAACCAAAGTGGCTTCGCCTGGGAAGGGTAGGATAGCAAAGGGCAGGCTAGAGAATCAGCTCACGTAGCTGGTTTTCCTGGCAGCCATTGGCGCCAGGAGGCGCCCATGTATTGAGGGATGGGCCCCGCGGCGGGGCGGAAACCAGCTGCATGCAGCAGATTTCGTACCCCCCCTCTCCCTGTCCCCCCCCCGTGCGGCCCGAAGTTGAGAGGGCCCGCTGGCTAGTGCAATCGCTCCTGCTGCTCGTGATGGCGCGGCCCGCGCCTCTCTTCGCGCGGAGTCCCCCCTGATGCCCGTCAACCTCGGAACTCCTCCTCCTCCCCCTCCTCCTGCTCCTCCTCCTCCTCCCTCCCTCCCTCCCTCCCTCCCTCCCTCCATCCCTCCTCCTCCTCTCCCTCCCTCCTCCCTCCCTCCCCTCCCTCCCTCCCCCTCCCTCCCTCCCTCCCTCCTCCCTCCTCCCGCGAGCCGACGGACACTCTCGCGCGCTGGGTCCCGGTGGCCACCCGCGCCCAGGCTGCGCGGCCGCCAGCCGGCGAGTACCATTCAAGAAACAAAACGCCATACAAAAAACTCTGGCGCTCCGCGCGGACTTCTTGGATCCGCGCTGGGGCCCCCCGGCGGCGCCTCGGGCATCGCCACTGTCGGGTCGGACGAAAGGGGGGGATTGGGAAAGGGGGGGTACGAAATTTGCTGCATGCAGCTGGTTTCGGCCTCACCGAGGGGCCCATTCCTCGATACATAGCCGCCTCCGGCGCCCGGAGGCGCCGGGAGAATCAGCTACGTGAGCTGATTCTCAAACCTGCCCTTTGCTATCCCCCCCTTCTGCGCGCCGGAGAGGGGGGTCCAGCGCAGATCCACGAAAGCCGCGCGGAGCGCCGAAACTTTCTGTTTATGGCGTTTTCTCTTCTTCTGTACAGAGGGTGTGCTGACGCCGGGGTTTGCGATCGGCGCCGTTGGGGCCTGGGCGGCGCGACGCTGTCCTCGTCGGGCCTCCCCGGGGCGCGGCGGAGAACTCTGTCGATGTCCCCGCCCGCCCCCAAGGGTGCCCCCCAGGGTGCCGGTTGCAAACCGCACCCTTTGCAAGGCATACCTTTCGGAGTCGCCGAGGCAGAGGGGCGTTGGCCAGAAGAGTGCGAGAATGCGTCAACGACGCTTCAGCGCATCCTCTCATGCCCAGGCCCCCCTCTTTTTGAAAAGGAGCCGCCTTGTGTGCGCGCAGCTACTGCGCAGCTTCAATGTTTGGTAACATATTCGAGGCATTCTCGAGTGAGGCAGCGCCATTTTGAAAAGGATCGCTCCTTCGAGTCATCATTTCCAAAAACAGCTTAGGAGTGAAAACCATATTCTTGGGCTTCCGCCGCACCGCCGGCCCTTTGGGGGGCTGCTGGTAGGTCTTTCGGGAGCCTCCTGGCAGCACTTTTGAGGCCTTTGGGGGGCCGTTTGGGGGCCTCTTGGGGCCTGTGGTAGGCCTCTTGGAGCCTCTTGGGGGCTTCTCGGGGGCTTCTCGGGGCCTCCTGGAGGCTTCTTGGGGCCGAGGGCTCGAAATTTCCGTTCGGGTCCCCCGCCTGGGCCCCCTCCTGGAGCCGTCTTCGGGGCCCTCTTGGGGGCTTCTGGGGGGCTTCTCGGGGCCTCCTGGAGGCTTCTTGGGGCCGAGGGCTAGAAATTTTCTTTCGGGTCCCCCGCCTGGGCCCCCTCCTGGAGCCGTCTTGGGGGCCTCTTGGGCTGTCTTGGGGCCCTCTTGGGCCGTCTTGGAGCCTTCTTGGGGGCTTCCTGGGCCGTCTTGGGGCGATCTTGGAGGCGGCCTCTTGGGCCGTTTTGGACGTTCGAAAGCCCAAGAGGCGAATGTACTAAAAACATACGTTTTACGAAGGCAGTGGGACGAGTTTTGCTTCTGGGGGCCCTCTTGGGACGCCTCTTGGGGGCCTCTTGCGGCGTCTCGGGGGCCTCGTGGGCTGTCTGGGGGCCATCTCGGGCGTCTTGGAACGAGCCATCGGCGACTTGGGGCCCTCTTGGACTATCTTGTGGGCCTCTTGGGGCCCTGATGGCCCGTCGTGAGGCCCGTGAGGCGTTCAGCCGGGTCCGGCCGGACCCCCCCCCTCCAAAGCGACCGGACCGGGCCCGGGGGGGAGGGGTTTGGGAAAGCATCTCGCACGCCGATGACCCCAAGGGGAAACAGCTCAGGAGTGAAAGCCATATTTTGAAGCGGGTCCGTGTTCCATCCGTGCAACTCTGGGAAATTGTTCAGACGAAAGAGCGCCGTGTTGAGGCGAACGCCACGTGTTGGAAACGATCCGCCGTCCATACGTGTAACCGTTGGACTTGATGCAGACCCGTGTGCGCTGCGCTGAGGCGAAATTGCATCGGGAATCGAGCCGTCCTCCATCAGTGCACTTGATGGAAGTTCTCCAGCTTCAGCAGCACGAGTTGTGAGGATGTGTCAGGCGAAACGCCTGGCCCGCTCTACGGGCACGTCTGTCGGGCGTTGCGCATCGGGGGGCGACAAATGGGGGTGTGAAGAAAGGTGCACCTTTGTGCCCTGAAGGGCCCTAAAGGGGCCCCGTGGGGCCAACCAAAAGAACACGAAAGGTGCATGTTCTTCCCGCCCCAGTTACCGCCCCCTTTTAAGCATCGCCCAAGCCTGGTGCTGCGAGGAGGAGTGGGAGGAGTTCTGTATGAGGAAGCGGGGTAGATGCTGGCATCGTTCTGCACATGAGGCAGGAACGTGCCCGGGGGCCGCCGCAGGCGCGCGGGCTCGCCGAGGCGGCCAAGCAGCTGCAGAAGGTGCCGAAGAGCACCGACCCGTACGGCAAGTACCTGGGCGCTGGCGCGTTCGGCGCGCCGCGTGGGCAGGCGGGCGGCGATGGGGGCTGAAGGTCGTCATCGTCGTCGCCACTGCCGTCGCCTCCTGCGGCGCGGTCGTGGCGGTGCCTTGGTCGTTGCCGTCGTCGCCGCCGCAGCCGTCGAGGTCGCGGTCGGGGTCGGGGTCGGGGTCGCTACAGAGATCGCGGCGGAGGTGGGTGCGTCCACTGTCGTCACTGGGAAGGAGCGGGAGAATGTGGCACCGCCGTCGTGGCCGTGGCCGTGGTCGTCGTCGCCGTGTCGGTATCGTCGTCGTGGTCGCTGCCGCCGTATCGGTTGCTGCGGTCTTCCCCGTGATCGTCATCGTCGTCGCCGAGATGAGGAAGGGGAGGGGTGGAGGAGGGGGGGAGGTGCGGAGGGGGATGGGGAACAGGGGGAGGAGGAGGAGGAAGGAGGGATGAGGGAGGAAGGACGCAGGAGGAGGGACGAGGGAGGGGACGGCGGAGAGGAATGCGGCCAAGATCTCGACGACAGCGGCGACGGCGGCGGCGCTGCGGCCTGAGCCGCCCAGTTTGGCACCGCGGTCTGCGGCGTGCTGGCCAAGCTGGGCTCCGCGGAGGAGCGCCGGCGCCGTGTGCTGGTGGTGGACAGCGACTTGGAGGGCTCGTGCGGGCTGAAGGCGGCCCCCGCCCCCTCCTCGTCCTCCTCCTCCTCCTTCTCCTCCTCCTCCTCCTTCTCCTCCTCCTCCTTGTCGTCCTCCTCCTCCTCCTCCTCCTTGTCCTCGTTCTCCTCCTCCGCCTCCTCCTTCTCCCGGGCGCCCGTCCCTCGCGGCGTTAACGTCCTCTTCCGGGGCGTCCTCCTCCCTGCTTCTCCTGCGCTTGTCGCGGCGTGGCCCCCCCTTCCCCCCTCCTCGTCTTTGTTCCCCTCCTCCTTCTCCTCCTCCTCCTCCTCCTCCTCCTCTTCCTTTCCTCCTCCTCATCCTCCTCCTCCTGCTCCTCCTCCCCTCCCCTCCTCCTCATCCTCCTTCTCCTCCTCCCGGGCGCCCGTCCCTCGCGGCGTTAGCGTTCTCCTCTGGGGCGTCCTTCTCCCTGCTTCTCCTTGCTTCTCCTCCTCGTCTTTTTTCGCCTCCTCCTCCTCTTCCTCCTGTTCCTCCTCCTCCTCCTCCTCCTCCTCCTCTTCCTCTTCCTCCTCCTCCTCCTCCCTGTCCTCCTCTGTTTCAGCCTCTTCCTCCCCCTCCCCTTGGCTCCATCCCCTCCCCGGCTCCACCTCCTCCCCTTGGCTCCATCCCCCCCTTGCTCCCCCCCTTGCGTCCGCGCTTCCCCCCCTCCCCCGCAACTTCCCGCCTCGTTTTTATACCGAGTGGTTTACGCCATTACACTGGGTCCTGAGTATCATCTGCTCTTCTGTGCCGCACTGGGGGTGGCGTCACCCAAACATACTAATACTATGTGCTCGTCGTTCCCAAAG